TAGCTATATATATAGTCTATATAAATTCAGTTATTCTTCTAAATATATTATTCCTATTATAACACTATCTTTTTTAATAATCTTTTACTTGAAGATTCTAGTTTATTAATATTAATAAAGCTAATACTTTTGTAATAAGATATATCGAATTTATAATTAGATTAACTTTGATATAAGGTCTCTATAATCTCCTCCTTGATGATTTTCTACTTATTATTTTCAATATTATTAAAGTAATATACTGCTATAGCCAACTTGTTAACAAATTTCCTTTTATAATTGTTAATACGATCAATCAAAAAATCATATTCTTTCTCCAAATTCTATCTAGGAATACGATGGAATGGGTATATCCAATAAGCAAATTGAAAATCGATTCTATTCTTAAGAATATTATTCTTAGCAATTATAATTACATTTGTTAGACAAACCGATTATATATTGAAAATAAACAAACAAAAAACCTTACTCACATTCCTTATTAGAATCCAATTTATTATCCGTTTTATCAGAGTCACGATTACTCTCATAAAAAGATTCCTTTTTCTCGACAGGCCGTTTGCCTTATATAACAGAAAAAGCAGCCGCTTTCTTCTCCACAAGCTAAATAGAAGAATAAATTAATAAAACAAATACAGAAAAAATTATAAACAATTTATTATTACATATATATTTTTCTATTACTAAATCTATATCAATAACAATTTACTCTTATTACTATATCTTCTTTTTGAAGTTGAAAATATATTAATTAATAAATATAAAAAAATTGATTAATTAAAAAAAGATTTGAAAGAGAAAAAGGATTTGATTAATCTATATACTTCAAAAGATTTAATTGATTATTAGATTACAGAATAATTTCCTTTGCTTCATATATACCTTTTTATTATAAAAAAAAAACCTATATATATATCTATTTATTATATTATTATAATCAAATAACAACAACACTATCTTATGATTATTAATTTGATAATTAAAATAAATAATTATAAAACTTAAAAACAAGCTTTTTCAAAGGAAAAAGTAATATCATAAATCGATATCTAATTATAGTTGTAATTGTTCACATATATATATATATATATATATATATATATATATAATCATATATATATAATTAATATATAGGTACACTCGATAAACACTTTGCTTCTGATTTTATAGTTATAGATTCTAAGAACAAATTGTACCCTGCTCTCGCAGTTCTTCTAAGGCAAGGCGTTACAATAAATTATTATAATTTCAATAAAAATAAATATAATTATAATAATATATTTATTATTATTAATCAATTAATTAAATAGACTATTTCGATATTTTGTTATAAGTTAATTAATTTAAAAAATCAGGCTTGTTTGTATTTATATTATATATATAAATATTATAGTGTTTTAGAGTTTATAGTCTTTAATTATAATTCTCAATTTATATTAATCTTTTAAAAAGAATTCAATAATATTTTAGGAATACAAGTTAAGCGGTTTATTGTTTATTATTTGTAAATTAATAATCAAATCAAAATTTATAATTAATATTTTTAATAATATTTATAATCTTTTATAAATTATTATTAAGATAATTAATCTAAATTTCTATTAATAATAGATTATGCTTAATTCATATTTCCTTATAAATTATTAGATAATCAATTTCTATATAAAACTCTATATAGTCATTTACTCTGTAATTTCTAGAATTAGAAATTCAATTTTATTATATCTATTAATAATTTAAATATAATTAATATTAGAGAATATATTAAATGTAATAAATTAATATTTGATTAAGCAAAAAAGAATATCTTGTATATATAAAAAAAGATGTTTTGATTGATCAATTTATATTATTATTTAATCAATTTCGATATAGAAAATTATATATAATTTAATAAAGGACTTTTCAATACAATAATTTTCAAAAAAACTGAATTATCTAATTTAGGGTAGATTCAAAATTATTGATTAGATTGGAGATTCTTTTTAATTAAATCTATTATCTATTATAAAAGTTTATTTTATATTTCTATTTAATAAATTCTATAAAATGGTAGATAATTCATTTTCTGAATAAATTATTGAATTACTATTTCTAATAAATATTATTAATAATATTAAATGGAAAGTAAAATATATTTTAGTTATTAAGAAAGTATATCGATAATTTAAATACAGAGTATTATAATTAAATGCTAATAATAATTTTATCTGATATTCTATTTTTAATTTCAAAACTATTCTATATTTTCTTTGTGATTTTTATTTACAAAATCCCTTTTTATTAGAATCTTTTATATATTTATCCAAATAAATTCGTTTTTATAAAAATGGAAAGAATGATTATGATTTTATAGATAATAATTAATATATAAATAAGGAAGATTAAAAAAACTTTTTTTATATATTAAAATAATAAAGAAATTATAATCTTATAAATAATAAAAAAGCAATCAAATAAAAACTAAATTATTAAAATAATATAATAAAAAATATCTTTTTTTTATCTTGGTAGTCTTAAAGTAAGCTAAAAAGAAAGTCTCTATGGGTATTAATGGTTATGGTTGGGTGAGGTACAAAAACAAAGATTAAATAGTTTAAATCAAAATATTAATCGAGTTTTTAATTAATAATAATGACAAGTATATATAGAATAATTATAAACTAAAAAATAAAATAACTTTTGGTTATAGTATGTATGATAATAAGATTGAGCTTGTATTTAATTATTTATAATTGTTTATAAGTTGCTGAAAGCTCTATTTCTATTTATATTATAATAAATTAGTATTATTGTTTTAATTTGTCTCTTTATATTATAACTTTGATTATATAATACTTTATATCTTTTCAAATAAAAATAATAGAAAGTATTTCTTTTGAAATATGATTCTTTAGCTTTTTTTATAAGTCAAGTTATCAAAAAAGGATTAACTTTATTAAAAACTAATAAAATTATAATTTATCTTTATTATATTGTTATATTTAGTAATAATTATTCAATATTAGAAAAATATTTTATAAGTTTTTTTAGAAGATAAGTATTTATACTTATACTTGTTAGTAAAATAAAGCAAATAATAAGTTTAATTAGACAATTAGCTAGAAACTTGATAGAATGTATTGTTTTTTTTATTAAAAATATAATTATATATATAATTTATATAAATCTAATTATTCTCCTGAATATATTATTCTTATTATAATATTATCTTTTTTAATAATCTCTTATTTAGAGATTCTAGTTTATTGATATTAATAAAATCAATATTTTTGTAACAAAATATATTAAATTTGTAATCTGATTGATCTTGATATAAGACCTTCATAATCTTTTCTCTAATAATTTTTTATCTATTATTTTCGATATTATTAAAGTAGTATATTATTATAACTAATTTATTAGTAAACTTTCTTTTATAATTATCAATATAATTAATCAAAGAATTATATTCTTCTTTCAAATTCTATTTAGAAATATAATAAAACAGATATATTCAATAAACAAATTAAAGATCAATTCTATTCTTAAGATTATCATTTATAATAATTATAATTATATTTATTAAACAAACCAACTATATACCAAAAATAAACAAATAGAAAACCTTATTTATATTCTTTATTAGAATTCAATTTATTATTCACTTTATTAAAATCACAATCACTCTTATAAAGAAACTCCTTTTTCTTAATAGACTGCTTACCTTATATAACAAAAAAAGCAGCTATTTTCTTTTTTGTAAATTAAATAAAAGAACAAGTTAGTAAAACAAATATAAAAAAAACTACAAACAATTTATTATTATATATACATTTTCCTATTACTAAATCTATATTGATAATAATTTGCTTTTACTGTTATATCTTCTTTTTGAGATCAAAGGTATATTGATTAATAAATATAAAAGAATTAATTAATTAGAAAAAATTTAAAAAAAAGGGGATTTGATTAATTTATATATTTTATAGGATTCAATTGATTATTAGGCTATAGAACGGTTTTTTTTACTTTGTATATATCTTTCTATTATAAAAAAGAAAAATCTATATATATATCTATTTATTATATTATTCTAATCAAATAATAACAATATCATCTTGTAATCGCTGATTCGATAATTAAAATAGATAATTATAAAGCTTAAGGGTAAGCTTTTTCAAAAAAGGGAGTAATATTACAAATCGATATCTAATTGTAGCTATAATCGCTTATATATATATGTATGTATATATATAATCATATATATATAGTTGATATATAGATATATTCGATGAGTGTTTTGCTTCCGATTCTGTAATTATAGATTCTAAGAATAAATTGTACTCTGTTCTCGTAGTTCTTCTAAGGCAAAGCGTCACAATATTCTCTATTCTTTCAAAAGCTAATTTTAGTATATTTCCAGTAATAATATTATAGTAGTATTTGAGACCTAATATATAAGGATTTAGAATAATAATATCTTATATAAGTAGTATTAAATATAATATGATATAAGATTTAGACTATTTAAATATTAATATATATAGAATATATTAGTATTTAGTCTATTAGAATCAACAAGATATATAAATATATATATAAATATTACTATTTTATTATAAGCTTATAATATATAAGAATATTATATATACTATGTAAGACTATATGAATTATATTATTGAAGTTATTATAATAGAGAAAGTAAGATATTTAATTAGCTATAAAAGAATAAATACTATCTTTAATATCCTGGAAAACTTTAGGGGCTTGAGGGAGAAAAGTAGAAAATTAGTATTGAGGTCGTAAAATGATAAGATTTATCTGTGGCGTAAAGCCGGCCTACTCATGTGAATGGCATCACCCATGTACCTACCTAGGAGAACTAGCTTTATCATCCCCTCTCCTGTGATTTTAGCGGCTCAATTGAAGCGATTACTTAGTGATTTTAGAACCAAGTCTTTATACAAGTCATGACTGCGCTTTGACAAGAAGTTTTGTATTGATGAAGACATCCATAATTACAAAGAGGGTTTTGCATTGGGTCCGGTCCAAGGCTTCATCTTGTTTTTTTTTGCCTCCATCCTCTTCACAACCTCATTATACTCAAACTTAGACAATCCCGAGCCATCACCGATTTCCCGTGGAATAGGCTTGAAACCTGGAGCCTCGTCAATGGGTTCATAAATGATGTACTGGCTCTTACTTATCGTTTGCCGGTCTTCAACGCACGCCCGAATGAATTTGGCCCATTGGGCAAAGAGGTGGTCAGTCTGGGGTATTTTGGCAAAGGAGGCAAAGATATGTGGGAGTGCATTGTACTGATGTAAATGAACTGTGGCACCGGCCCTGAAAGCTTGCTTTGCCATGAACTGTCCCTCTTCGAGCATTTTTTCTTGACCATACGCCAAGAATAGTGGTGGTGGGTTGATAGAAGGCCAATTTCTAGCGGAAACAGGACTAATTAATGGGTGAATTATCATATTCGTTGTGGGCGCGTAAATATTTGCTCTTGGGGGTTTGCTGGGCCAGATATCATCTGGTTTCAGATCGTCGCTCAGTGTTGTGTGAATCTCGTTTAAAATGTCGTATTTTTGATTTCCTTGATGTGCTGGGCTGTTCAGAGAACTGAATTAATATGTCCCGAACCACAATCGAAGTTGAAATAAGAAATAGAATACCTACAAAGACTCAGTGATTTCACCTTGTGGTGCATAAGTTGCAAAACCCGCGGGAAATGGAACTGCGACAGATTTGCCGTGGAAGTTGATGCGTGTTTTCTTGTCTCGAAAGTTTTGAAGTAGAAGAAGGAAAGCAATAGCGAGATTTCCTCCAGTGCTTTCCCCAGCGACCACAATATCTTCAGATGGAACTGCTTCATGAAACGCATCCTTGGGTGGATAGAGAAGTGATAAATATGATACTAAAAGATCGATCAAGGGTGCAGGGAAAGGATGCTGTGGAGCGAGTCGTTGCTCGATGACAAGACAGCGTCCCTTGGTAAGCCTTGCTAAAGTTGAAGTGACTTGACGTGTAGAAGCTGCTCCTCCGAAGCTGGATAGTCATAAGTTAGTACCGAAGTAAATTTTCTGTGGTAACAGAACAGATCAAATGGGTGAGCTTACTAGTTCATTCCACCATGAGCATATAGAATAGTTATCCTGGATTTGGTATCCTTCATGAGACCTTTGTACTTATCTTCCTCAGAAATATCTGGCTCATCTTCTTTCTCCCCGACTCCAGATCGGAAACCACTCCATTGCACTTTTACATCAGCCAATGTGGTTTCAAAATATTCTCTACTGCCGGTATTATCAAGATCGTAAATTGCATCAGTAATAGCAGTGACAGTTGAGTCATCCTCAGGAGCTGGGAGAACGGTTCTACTAGCCCAAACCGAGCCTTTTGCTGGCCGATCCGCCGTGGTAACAGCTTGTTGGAAGGATAGCGGGGTGTAAAAGAGATGATTCTTCTCTTTTCTGAATTTCTGCGTCCATTCGATAAGTTTCTTTGCTGCAGGACTCTCTTGATCCGATGCCATATTGACGAAGAAAAGCTTTCCTAAGATGATTATTGTAGAGATAATTCAAGACCAAAAAGACAAACAGTCCATGTTCCAACAAACCAACTTATTTGCATGCTCTCTCGAAATGTGCGGCACGATGTAATCTAGCTCCGAGCTCTAATGTTGCACTGCAGCGAAGCCACTTGAGCCCCCGGCTCGTGATACCTAGTTAGACAAGGAGCAAACAGTGAATATTGCGAATGTATACCCCGCACTCGGCAAAGATTACTTGACCTGAGGCTTTAAACAGCAGCCGGAGTCTAATCTCGGCATGCATGCAAGACATGCATGCCTTAGTAGAGTTATACGTAATCAGTATATAGTGTATATATAGTATAGGATTCTCTATACGATATACCGTATTCTTTTAGAAAATTCGAACGGGGCGAATAAAGATGCTTAATTTTAGAGCCAATTAGCTTGCTTTTAAATGGGGTAAAATACCTCAAAATAGGAGTATTAAATAGAGTTTCAAGATATTTGATGAATAATCTAATAAGGAAACGAATCAGATAACTCCAATAGATATTATAACCCTAACTTATAATAAACTTGAATTATTCGCCCCGTTCGAATTTTTTAAAAGAATATAATAGTTCGCCTATACGATATAAGCTTTTCTATACCCTTTCTATATGCTCCCTATATAGATTAATTACTAATCAATATCTAATATATTATTATTTAATCGAATTTTTGATTGATATCAAATAGATTTTTCTAAATTACTAAGCCATTCTATTCAAATTAATATTCCCTATAATATAATAATAGTATATATAACTTCGAATAAAAAAAACCCCTCCTATCAATATTATCTTGACTACTAATCGAGCTAATATTCAAGATTCATTTTTTGATTTTAAAGCTATTCCCAGCCTGCGCCATACTAAATTTTATTTTCGCGTAAAAAAGTTTATACTGTGTATACACCGTGTAGGGATTATACACAGTATACAGATGGTGGGAAGATTTATATTGTGTAAGCTAGCTTATACGATCCCTACACGGTGTATACACCATATGCCGGTTACACATAACTCCACTAAGATATACTGTGCACGTTGTATGCTTGACTTCCATTTAGTGGTGAGGTGGTGTGATTGCGGTATTTTGTTGGGAACATAGCTATTACATACCTTCAAATCAAAAAGACGGATTTCAGTGGGAATTATTATACTCAACAGCTGCTGTGACAAGCTAAAACTTGGAATAGATGCGCTTTAGACCTGATGTACCCGCGTTATCAAATCTTGTAGGGCTGGTGCATCGGGAATTATCCGTTCCGTTTACGGTGCGACAACCGAAATAATTCTTGTATAAATTTCTCGTGCAAACTTGTCGCATACTTCAACACAACACAAACCAAATCACAGATGACAGATGACAGAAACAATGACTGAACCCACGGCCGTGGAGCCTAGATCTACCGAGAAAATCGTTGAACATGCTGAACTACCGAGTTCTGAACAGCCATCCGAGGAGGCCTCAGACGACGATATCAATGGCTATGTTGAAGGAACAAAATTATACCTTCTAACTTTAAGGTAAGATTCATGAGTTTTAATATACCAGCGAAGACAAGACTAACAATTCACATTTCAATTCAGCCTCACTATGCATGCTCATTGGCACTATCGAACTCACAGTCATAAGCACATCACTAACCTCAATCACAAACGACCTCCATGGTTTCAACAAAACCGGCTGGATTGTCACTGGATATCTAGTCACCTATTCCAGTGAGTCATTATCTATAGACTCAGTTCAACCAAGATCTTGAAGTGATAACCTAGTAATCTACAGGTACATTCATCATCTGGTCCAAACTCAGCGACGTCTTCGGCCGCAAATCCTGCATCATAACTTCCGTCTTTATCTTCGTCATATTTTCCGGAGGATGCGGAGCCGCGCAAACCATAACCCAACTGTAAGTTATCTACTCCCTTCCCTTCAAATCTCTACATCTTTATTTTGAAAGCTCTAGAACAAGTCATAACAAAACTATACAGAATAGTATGCCGCGTATTCCAAGGCATCGGCGCAGCCGGCGACCTCGCCCTCGTCTTCGCCATCTCCTTCGAAATGATCCCCAAAGCCAAATTCCCAACCTACACAGCTATATTCGCTGTCGTGACTACTCTGGGCTATATTACCGGTCCGTTGATCGGTGGTGGGTTTGCGCAGAACTCGACGTGGAGATGGGCGTTTTTTTTAAGTGCGTTTTTCCTCACCTTGATTTGTGAGAAAGCTGAACTAACATCAGGAAAGTGTACCAGTTGGTGCATTAGCAATCGTCCTCCTAATAATCTTCGTCCCCAACGGCTTCCCCCACCAAAACAACCCCAATCCGCGATCTCGCTCTCTCGCTACAAAATCCAGCCGTTCCTCTCTCGCAAAAATTGACGGCCTAGGAGTTTTCCTCTTCCTCGGTGCTTCATTCTTACTCGTAACTGTGCTTCTTAGCGCTGGAAACGACTTCGCATGGAACTCTGCTACTACTATCGTGTTATTTATTATTTCTGGGTTCTTGTGGATTGCTTTCGCGGTGAATGAATGGTTCGTTACAAATGATAAGAGGATTCCCGAACCGATTTTTCCGTGGAGGTTTGTCTTGAATAGGAAGTGGATGGGGGCTTTGTTGTGAGTGTGAAACTATCTTTTTGATTCCTCAAACTATGCAAGATGAGATTCATATTCTGTACACTTAACAGAAATTTGTCTCTGACCAAAACAATCTCATCCCACAGACTCTCCCTCCTCTCTGGCATCCCCTGGAACGCCATAACCATCAACCTTCCCCAACGCCTGCAAGTCGTAAACGGGATGTCCCCGGTGGCGGCCTCCGTGCGGCTAATCCCCTTCACCGCTCTCATTGCCTTCGGCAGCGTCATCGCAAACGTCTTTCTAAAACTGCACGTTCCCATCTATCTCATGTTCATCGGTTCCTGTCTGCAAGTCATTGGCTCAGCTTTACTATCCACAGTTTCCAAGGACACCCATATCGACCATGCTATTTATGGATATGAAGTCATTGCTGGTCTTGGAATTGGTATCGTGATTGCGATGATTATCGTTGTACCGCCACATATGGTGGAGAAACGGGATTTGGCGATCTCATCTGGTGCGTTGCTGCAATTCCGCGCGCTTGGGGCTGCGATTGGTTTGGGTATTACGAGTGCGACGATGAATAACTACCTCTCCTCGCACCTTACGCATATCCTGACATCTGAAGAAATAACGCAAATCTTCCACTCCATATCATCTATAACCACATTTCCCCCAGAAGTGCAGCTAAAGGTCTTACATGCGTTTGCGGATGGATATCAATTACAAATTCAGATTATGGCTGCGTTTTCAGGGTTACAGGTTTTGCTCGTGGCGATGTTTTGGGGGAGGCCGCAGGTTAGGGTCTAGGGTGTCAAGGGGGAAGTGGAAGGAGAATAGGGTGGAGCATGAAGCTTGTAGGCGGAGGTAAGCAGATTGGCAGTTAAACAAAGGTGTAGGTACAAAGGTATAAGACTCATTACTAGTAACTATTCGATGGGAATTTTAATCTACTTTCTCCTCTCGTTTCTCCTCTCGTGTCTCCTCATAACAGAACTTATCAGGGAGGGACTCGGACCTCAACTCGTAGTAGAACGCATCTTGAACTTCAGTTTTCTCGGTTAGATCCGCATGCCCCGTGCTAAGTGGGTATCATGATAGGGGACGCGGGGGGAGGGGACTACAGTACTAGGCATTAAGTTTGTGCGAAAGGCCTTTTTCCACCAAAACTCATTTTCTTTAAAATATAATTAAAAATCAATTTCTAATTTCAATAAGATCAAAATTCAGAAATTGATAAAAATTCATTAAATTATTAATAAAAAATGAATGAATTATTTTTATTGATTTTTATTTTGATTGAAAAAGATTTTGAATTTGAAATTGTTTAAAAACTTATTAAATTCGCTTATTTTTGATATAGAAATTGATTCTCAAAAAATATTCAATTTCAATTTTATATATTTTATTAAATTAAAAATATATGATTATAAGATTATTACATAATTAAATTCAATTGATTCTGATTTTATAAATATAAAATTTATTAAAAAAATATTCAGTATATAAAGATTAATATTTAATTAAAATTGAGATATTGATATTTTTATTTTTTAATATAATTGAATATAATTTCATTTGAAAATAATTTAATAAAATAATTCTTTTTGCATTATATAATTTGATTAATTTTTTATAGAAAATCAAAATCTGAAAAAAATATATTGAAAAATTAATTTATAATTATTTATTGAAATAATTGAGTTTATTCGAAGAATCAATTCGCGCGAACTTAGCTGAGGTTGCTGTAACGAGAAATAAAAAAACAAAACGCAAAATTTGACCTGTCGATTATTCCAGATATCCTGAAACAATCAACCGATATGATTTTTGATTATCTGAAAATCTTTAATTCAATTACTCATTCATCAATTCCTCTTATATTTCTGTACATCATTAACAAGTCTTCATCACTTCTGTTATGAGCCGCTGCCAAGAAAGGGGAACTCACATCATCCACCCTCCCCAAATTCCCCTTATCCAACGAATTCGTCGCCCTCATCAATATTTGTCCCGCCCCCTTCGCAACCCCAATCGCCGGTCTCAAAACCACAACCGGTGCATGGCTTCTCACCGCCCTTAACACTCCCTTCGCACTCCCATCTTCCATTGCCTCCTCAGGGACCGCAATAATCGCATCCCTTGATAACAATAAATCACGCTGAAGGCCTTCATAACCGCCCTTCAGACCCTGGAATAAACCATTCGGTTGATTGACGTAGAGAGATATTTGTTTCCTTTCTTCTTCATCGTCGTCGCCGAACGTGTAGGGATGATTGAATGAAGATGCTTCGGATCCAGGACCGAGGTAGTCTTCTGCTCTTTGAAGGACTGTTTATACGCCAATTGCGACTTTGGCGCCGAGTTTAACGAGCTCGGTGGCAGTTGTTTTGGCGAAGCCCTATAATAGCAAAATTAATATCTAGATAAAAAAATTCAATATAAAGCTCTATACAATCTTTATATAATATAAAATATTATATTAAAAAAAATTGTTATTAATAAAATATATACTTTATTATTAATAAATAAATCAATTCAAAATCGAATCTATTTATTATTAATATTTTATGAGAAATTGAAAAAATATTTTATATAAAATCAATATCTTTTGAATTCAATTATAAATAAACTCAAAAATAATTATATTTCTAATTTTCTAATGAAAGTTTAAAGATATTTCTTAAAATTAGAATTATAAATCTATTATATTAAATCCTTAAATCCTCTATAATCCTTTTTCAATACTATTTTCTATTTTATTTAATGTTATAATCTTTATATTATTAATTAGATTATTAATTAGATTATTAATTAGATATTAATTAGATTATTAATTAGATTATTAATTAGATTATTAATTATTGAAAGTTTTTATTTCATATATCTTTTTATAAATCAAAATTCTAATATTATCATAATTTTCGTTTAATTATAATTTTGAATAATAATATATATTTTCTTACGTTACTTATTTATTTACTATTTAATTATTATTATATATATTAATATTAAATTTCAAAATAAATATAACAAACATTTTAAATATAAGCTTTTTAATGATATAATTATCATTATCTTGAAATTGTTATAACAAAAATTATAATTTGTTATATAATAGACTTTTTTTAAATTTAAGTATAATTTGTATTTAAAATTTTAAATATATAGAAACTTTAATTAATCATAATTAATTTAATTTTTAATTTAAGATACTTAAAAGAACTTTATTTAAAAATTTAAAAAGTAATTTATAATAAATATAAAATATATTTATTACGATCTTTAATTAAATAATTAATTATTAGAGTTAATGATGACTTTACTACTGATTTATAAAAATATGAAATATTTCAAATATATTCAGAATAATAGATCTATTATATAAATTCTATCAGATACCTACTCTCTAATACTTACCCTCATTTCGTACAGACTCACCTAATATACGTCAATCAAAAAGAAGCTAGCTCCCTATAAATATAAGTCCCTATAAATATAAAAATAATTATAACTAAACTAATTATAACTAAACTAATTATCAAGATTGAATTTAAAATATAATTCTTTTTACTCAAATTTACTTAACAAATAAGAGATTCAGAATAAGATACTTTTATATTTGAAATATAATATTAGGATTGACTACTTTACTACTAACCTATAAAAGCATACAATATTCAAAACACATTTAAAATAATAGATCTACTATATAAACCCTATCAGATACTCGCTTTCTGATATCAATATATATTAAAAAACTAATAATTTAAAAGAATTTTAATAAGAGGTCTTCATTAAAATCTAATATTATCAATAAATTCTATATTTTCATATTTATATTAATAAATTATTTCAAATGATATCAAGATTCTAATATTTTTAAAATAATATTTCGATATTTAAGGTTAAAATCATTTTCTAATTAACTCAGTTTATTTTCAATTTTTCAAAGAAATGAATTAAATAAACTTTATATTCTAATTATATTGTATATACTACTTTTTGTATCACCCGCGAGAGGGGTAATAATATCACGGGATCAGATCTACTTGCTGATTTCTCATCATTACTTCCGAGCTTCTGTTATCAAGTCATCTCGAGATCGTATTCTTGATTGAGGGGCACTAAATAAGCGAGTGGAGCACTAATACACTTTAGACTTGGATAATTGCCGTGTGGAGTGTGGTTACCCTTGCGCACCATGACAATTCTTCATTATTCAAGTGTGGGGATTCAAAATGAAAGTGTTTGATCTTCCAACTTTTGAAGAAGGTAGATAGGTAGATGTTGAACAGCGAATGGTGTTCATGATGGGTGTGACGAGGTTTATGCTCGATATTAAAGCAACTGTATGGTTTGTTTTTTGAGATCGACAATCATGAATACTACTCTGCATATATAACTCATTACGCTGACTGAAATTCGAAATGGTAATTTACACCAACATTTTGTTGAGAACTAACCTCCCATCTAAGCCCATTTTACATTAATCGCAGGTCCAATGGATACCATTACGCCCTGCTCCACACATATCCATAAATCATAAGTCATAAATACCCAAACTCATATCCTAAACTCAATGACAAAGTGTATTCCATTGATCCAAAATATCCTCCATATCAAATGCAATGCCCCATTGTGAACATAGGCATTTAAATAGCTTCTGCATAGAATTGAGTTCATAAAGAAGATTCTTCGTTGTCCCCATTGCTCTGAAAAATGAGTTTTCCCCTCGAAGATATAATTCTGTTTCTGATTGACTTGTACATCCTGGTTGGATTGAAGAATTTAAAGCTTCATTGGTCGCTAAAACAGCTTGCCAATCCACAATATTTGGTACATTGACTGCACCCTGACCAGCTAGTGAAAATACACAATAGACTGTTGCTGAAGCAAATAAAGAACTTGGGATATGTATGACATGTGCTCTACCTCTTGGTAATTGTTCTACAATCTCTTGGATTGCAATGGCGTGTAAGAGAGCTTTTCGTGCTTCTTCCGTACTGGCCCAACTTATCAAATCTTGTTCTGGTTTCATGACATTCTTTCCGCCACAAACATGTTGAACGATACCATAACGAGAACAGATAGATCTGCAAAGTAATGATGAATCTTTACAGGCGTCTAGGCAAATGGTATGCCACCTTAGTAGAAGTTCAAGTCGTTCGGAATGTGAAAGATTTGGGCTCATTGATATAGCTTCAAAAGAGTGACCCAAAGCTTTTCGTAATTCAAGCTTTGTAGGTACACCAACTGTCGAAAGATCATCGGAATCGCAATCCGAAACCAAGGATTGAAGGCCTTCTAAAATGACTCGAAGTGAGAATGCCGAGAATACATGAAAACTAGTAAAAGGTTGACTAGCCGGGGCAAATAATGATCTAATAATACTTCGGAAAGAATATTGTAAAGGTTCTTGAGATCTCATGTGATTTAGCCATTCATTGGCAGTTGTAGCCTCGAATGCTGTTTCGCTACTTGGTAAACCCAATTGATTGGCAGCATGTCGAACTGATGGTGTTTCCCCAGACATTCGGGATATTAAACCATCCAATACATAATGACCCAATAAAGCACGTTGTTGAATTTCTTTGGCTGCCCAAACTTTCCAAGCTCTATTCTTTTCTTCGTCAGTAGAATTTTGGTTTGGTAGGTTACTCCTTGAGTATGGTTCACTATCAGATATTGCGCATTGTCTTGCCCAAAAGAATCCAAGAGCATGGAATGCTTGACTTGTGGTTCGAATAACTCGATTTCTTGAAAGCGCGCCGTAAATTTGAGCAAGTAGAGCAGTCACAACTAACTGTACTCCTTGACAACTATCGTAAGGACCTTGGTGAGTGATTAATGTTTCCCAAGATGTCGCAACTGCTACATGTGCAAGCCTCCATAAAGCTTCACCTTTTGCAACTGAATCTTTGGGTCCAAGATATAAAGAACCGATAGCCATGGCATTGAGAAGTAAAGGTTGAGTACATTCTCGAAAGACAAATGTTGATCGATGTAATACTGGAAATGTAGGTATGAATCTTACAAAGAACATATGTAAACATTCATCCAGAAAAACCGATGTGAGAGATGTAGCTTCAACAGCAGCCGTAACAGTTGATGACTATATATTTTAATGAGTAGGGGATTTACTTGAAGAGTCACGAAAACTTACCAAACTAGTAACCATCTCACTAACATTATGTACCGCTTGATGACTTTCTCCCACCGGAATTGACCCAATTGAACCCTTCTCCTGAAATGGACCTGGTATACCAAAACTTCCATTATTTATATGTGACCGAGTTGTAATAGGTACTGGTAACATTCCAATTGGCATTTGCCAAGAATTCGTTGGATCGGAAGACATCAAAGTTTCGAACAAATCTTCCGCATCTGGCCATATTAATTCAAAATCGAGATCCTCTGTAGAAGATGGTGTATTTCCAATGATAGAATGACCAGTACCTCTATCCTCCATATTTCCTTGTTGTGTTCTTGGTGTTTCCATCTGTAAGTTTGTATTCATCGCAGGTAACATGTTCGTCGGTATGCTAGATTGCGAAATTAAACTTGAAGGTGGTGAAGGATAATTGGGATAATTGCTTTCTCTTCGAGTATGTAACCTTTCATGACGAGCAAGAGAATCTTGTCTTGCAAATGGTCTTCTGCATTCTTTGCATACAAAAGGTCGAGATCCAGTATCTTTTTGCATCATTTATATTAGTTTGCGATTCTTGTTATGAGGAGGAAATCAAATTCCAGAGGGATCGCTTCTTACGACTTCTTTCGTGTCTCTGTAATTGATGATTAGTGAGTATGAGATATACATCTTGATGATATTGTATTGCTAACCCTTAAATGTTCGCCTTTAGAGAAACTCTTTTGACAGAATCTGCAATCCATCCCAGTATATTTTCTCGGTGTGGGTGCGGAAGTAGGAGTGGTAGTGACTGTTGTTGTTGATTGCTTTGGAGATTCCATGATGATTGAAATAGGTGGGTGTGGTGGTGTATGATTGATTGTATGATTGAGGTATTGACTTTGACTTGCCTCACTTGAGTTGTGAGGTTACCTATCGGATATTTTCTCGTCGCGATAGGATAATTGATGTATAAAGAAGGTAGGTGGTATTCAATTGTTCTCCTAGAGACGGTAGGTGATACAGATACAGCATTAATTAAAAAAACAGATACCAACGACGTAAGCCTTCTGGGGTATTTGGGGTATATCTGGTGATCTATGCGCAAAGAATTCGAAAATGCATGTTGCCTGTAAAGAATCCCCGCATCAATTCTCGGCACCGACTAGATAAGTACATGGGGCAGTAGTATCGCTTCGCATGGACCATGGTGACCACTTTGAGCTACCTAGTACGTATAGAAAAGACCTCAAGACTTGCCCATTCGTCCGTAAGGATCCCAGATTGATTGTGTGTCATTATTTCTTTATTCATGATGATCCCGATTGCCATTTGAATATATCCTCATATCTAGAAGAGGATATAGAATCTCAAGTAATATGGAACACTCGAAATCCAAACTCGGTTACATCCAGTTCATGAACAACATAAATCTCCTTCTTCATCCTCTATTGCTGACGGGAAGAGATTGAAAAAGCTAGGTCATGTTTTGAGAATTTGGTGAAGTAAAAAAGACTCGCATTTTATCATTCCGTCTACCAATAAATAATTCACAGACTAAAGAAACGCCTCAAGAATCCCATGCTACCATATTGAGTCAGATTTCATTCTATCCGTCCCCAAGTAAACCCTTCTCTCTCCTTCCCGACATTTACCGAAAACCGCTACTCAATTCAATGGCGTTCTTGTTGATCAACCCACTCTTGAACATCTGCTTCAAAGTCTGCATTGTACAACCAGCTCAACTCAAATGGTTCTCTCTTCTGATCTGCCGAGTTTCCCGGTAAACGTCTCAAATCAATCTGTTGGTTCAATTCCAAAACCTTTCCAACTCTCTTTTGACGATATTCTTGCCAGAAAGAAAGTGCTTTCTGGGTATCTCCCTTGTCCGACTTTGCAAGTAGCAATGCAAAGATATAAACATCTTCAAATGCTTGGTTGATACCTTGGCCTGCAGAAGGAGGAATTGCATGAGCTGCATCACCAAGAATTACCACGCGTCGATTCTTCGATACCCAGTTGTCGAGTTTTGGAACGATGTAGAAGGGCCAAGCATTAATCTTGTCATGAGAAATCTTGGAAACGGCATTGTGAACGATCTCCGGAAATAGATCATTGTTGCTTTGCAAGAATTCAACACTTTCTTCCTTGTTGTTCGAGAGATCATTCCATCCAGCTCTATCTTTCTCCTCGATGCGTAATTGTTTTCCAATCAATACTTCAGATCCATCTTCTTGCTGAGGAGCAATCACAAATGCACCTTTTGGAGACATTATAGTGACAGGGATATGATATCCTTCCGGAAGTTGTAATTGAGATGTTGGTACAGCTGCTGTGATACCAACCATTCCAGTGAACTTGGTCTCCAAATCAGGGTAGAGATAACGACGAACAGTAGAATGAATACCATCAGCTCCAATGAGAAGAGGTGCAGTACCAGTTGTACCATCAGCGAATTCCCATTCAACTTGTTTGTCGGTTTCCGAAGTGATGTGTGAGAATTTCTTGCCAAAAGTAATGGGGATATCTTGTTCCTTGAACATTTCAAGTAACTCGGTGATAAGGATGTGTCTGTAGATTCGAAGAGCTGGGAAGCCATATTTCTCTTCCGAACCAAATTCCTGAATCTCAACTAATTTTCCATCCCCAGCAGTACGATACTCAAGATTGTCAAAATTGTAACCCTTATGACGAAGTCTATCATAGACGTTGAGAGCTTTCAAGATTTTGAGAGCGTTAGGAGAAAGCATGACAGCACCTCCGATATTCAAAGGCGCAGGACGACTTTCGTAAACTCGACATTTTATATTGTTTTGTTGAAGGGCAAGAGCGAGAGTTAGACCAGATAATCCTGATCCGATGATGGCGACCTCTTTAGAGGATGGTGTAGACATTTTGTTTGACAGGATGTAAAGGATGTTGGTAAAGTTGTTTAAATTCGATACGTGGTGCTTGAAGTGTTTGATGTTGTTGAATTCTAAATGAAAGCTGTGTGGACAATATTATACCTTTGGAATGAAGGATATTCACTCGATATATATTTTCTTCCAATCTGTTGGTGATCCATCGGCTCATATTATGACCATTCAATGGTATGATGTTCATTCACCCAATTATGCACCGACAGATTAAAACCTCGTGTAAGAATTCCATCCTGTATTCTTGCTGGTTCCTGCATTATCGTGTGAGATTTTGGGCTTTCGGATCCGAACCGGACTGGTTGTGCGACAGTGAGCATCTCGGCTTGTTGGTTGGTCAATTCCGTGAATCTAATCCCGGTGTCTTAAATCCGAGCGGCATTTTATTTGCGCACAAATCCACCGGTCTATTTGTTTTACACACTTTAGAGTATATTATTAACACCGGTTTGTTTGCTTACAATTTATTCTCTACAATGTACCAGAATAGCAAATTTGAATCTACTAGGTCATTTCATATAACTTTTTTTCTTGTACATAAATAGAAAATTAAGCCACAATTGGATGCAGGCGTTTCCAGTCGTCCAGACATCCTGTTGATAATGAAAGATTCGATTATCTTTGGTGCATTTGATACTTGAAACACTAATTCCTTATAAACAGCAGTCCATCTATAATTTTCAAGCGTTATGACCAACGAACCAACAATCATGTAATCACCATAAGATCTCGGAAGAACTATTTTGATGCAGTTAGTTATCATGCAAATATGGCTACTAGGTCAGATGTGAGGGTGAAAGATTTTTTTTTACGACGCTGGTACTTTAACGAAACAGGGAGTTGGAGGACAATATCAGCTACCATCATCTCTCTAGGTGAGTATCAGTAATGAGACAGGCCATCGATGAGCTTCCTATCTGACATTGACTCATGAAACTGTATTCACGATCAGAATTATATTGAAAGTTTCTTCAAGTCTAGCTTACACATCTAAATTCATCACACGAGATTCTAAAGCAACAATACCAAATTGCGCATACAGAAGATCAAGATACTATTCACAGATTAGACGAAAGTGAACAAGCACAAGTAATGAAATATAATGATATCCTCAAGACTGTATGAGATGAATCTACCTGTCCATTTTATCTGATCTTCGCAACGCCAAATCGTCCGTCCAGGAATGAGATGAGATTATCTCAACCCTTCATCGAGCAGCCCAAAGCACGTACAAAGAATGATAGAGAGAAGCGCACCGGGTAGGATAGACTCCAATTTCGTAAAATAGGGGAAAAGCAAGAGACTACACGATTTACGATAGTTCAGCTTGCTTTTACCAATTGATGGCTTCATGATTCATTCTAGACACCCCGGAACTTCTACTCACTGAAAGACTCTATTTGATAGGATGATTCAACTTCTTCAGAAATCATCTGTTTTAAACATTATAGACTTTTCTGCCTCATGAAGTTCGAAGATGTCGCTTCCTAATTGTACCGCATTTCACCCGGTATCGCACGACGAATGCGAAAAGGTCCCGGGAGAAAGTCACACTGCTGACTACTTCACGATGAGATGTAGTCAGATGGCTTGTGGAAATTTCGAAAATCGTCTCGACTGATTTGTTTCAAATAGAGAGACTATTTCTTGACATTTGGGTGATCATCTCGATATCTTCCGTCGTTCACTTTTAGTCACATTCGCCTGTACACAATTATCCCTTACCTTCTCAACCCACAACCAATCGAAATGTCCGACAAACCAACACTAGTCTTTCTTCCCGGAGCATGGCACCGTGCCGAAATCTGGGAGAAAGTAACTTCACTCCTAAAAGAACAACACTACAATTGTATCCCCGTAGAACTCCCCTCAACAGCCGGCGATGCCACGATAGGTTTCGGCGACGACATCACAGCAGTACGAAATACCATATTATCAGAAACCAGACAAGAACGCGATGTGATACTAGTTGTGCATTCGTACGGCGGCGCAGTCGGTCAAAGTGCAGTCAAAGGACTCACCCGTCGCTATCCCGATGATCTCGCATCTACGGATGAGAAACCCACTGGTCATGTTATAGGTCTCGTTATGATGGCTTGTGGATTTGCGCAAACGGGGTTAAGTTTTATCGATGCGATTGGGGGAACACCTCCACCCTTGTGGAGATTTGACGATAGTGGTTTTGCGGTGTTGGAACTTCCTGCTCGGGAATCATTTTATCATGATCTTCCTGAAGAGGAAGGTGAATATTGGGTTGGCAGGTTGAAGAAACAGTCGCAGAAGGTTTTGAAAGAGGGTGGGGAGTGGGCGTATGCGGGTTGGATGGATTTGCCAGTTTGGTATTTGACTACGATGGATGATAGGACGTTTCCGGTTGACGTGCAAGGAATGTTTGTGAAAATGGCAAAGGATGCAGGGGCCGATCTCACGGTCAGAGAGGTTGTGAGTAGTCATTCGCCGATGTTGAGTAGACCGAGAGAGACGATGGAATTTATTGTGGAAGCGGCGGTTTCACTGGCTCATTGATTTGATGGATTCTTAACTCGACAGGCTATTGCTTTGATTGGAATCATGAGGAAAATTGTAATAATGTGGTATAAGAATCTCAACTTTGTTCACTAGCAATTCTTCAACTCTTGCATGGTTCCTAATTGTCTCAATATGCCATGGACAATGCCTTGATTCTAGTGCGCATCACTACCAAACAGCCTAGCACATTCAAAACACATTAAGGCTTTTAGTAATCATTGCAGGTAGTAATCTAAGGCCAAGCTCACCAAGTGATGCAACAAAACCGTAGCACCTGGGCAGTTTATAAGAAATCTATTCATATGATATGATATGATATGATATGATATGATATAATATGATATTTGTTTAACGTCTAGAGGAAGAATTTCCTGAAGGATATATAAGATGTGTTATACTAGGAATTATAATAAAATCCTATTTATAAAATGAAAGTCCTTTGTTTAAAGGAAAACCTTATAAATAAATCTGAGTCCCTGATTCTATAGTATTGTAATACTTTTATAAACCTAAATAGTAATTTTCAAGCCTTTATATTATATGACTATATGGATTGCTCTGCTTTCTATACAATTTGGCTATTGAAAATATTCCTTTTTTGCTAGTTGAGGTGGTTTATATTGATAATTGTATATAATTATTCTAGGTAATCCGAATCTTTTTAAATAAGCTTTATTTATTATACTCTAAATGCTTATATATACAAATAAATTTCGAAAATCCGAAAAACCCTTTTTTTCTAATAAATCCTTCTTTCCAACACTACTCCCCTTCATTTTGTAAATATATTTTGTAAATATACCTTATATATCTGAAAGGGGTAGATATCTTAATATAACAGGATATCAAAATATCAACAAGAATAGTTTATAAAGATAAATTTTTCAAAAATAATATAAATATAACTGTATACTTGACTTTGAATAGATAAATATCAATGAATTCAATCTTAGTTTTTCAAATTCTGTAAAAGAATTGAAGGTTCGTAGAGGGCACCGCGTATAGGTGTTGAATCTTTTGCCCTCAAAAATCTGTCCATAGAAGAATCACGTGCGGCATATAATTTAAGTTGCCACTACGCAAGTAGTCCCAGCACTAAGAAGAATCTAAACCCACACAAAAACGAGAAATATTATAAAACTATACATAAGAAGCAATACTTCATACCTTGAAATCGAACGACCAAAAGAAAAATTCCCAACCACATACGAAACTTCACATCACCATTTACCTCACTCAAACTTCTCGACTATACCTCACATACCAACCTCGAATAAACTACTCATCATGTCCAGAATTTCTACACGAGTGATGATAATCTCTGACACTCACGAACATAGCCTCAATGGAGCGAGTATGCCCGAGGTTGATATCCTCCTCCATACTGGCGATCTAACTAATTTTGGTGAATTGGAGGCCTTGAAAGAGTCCGTCAAGATGATGGGTACTATCGAGGCCGAGTTGAAATTGGTTATTGCCGGGAATCACGACATATCTCTTGATGCGCAAAACCGGGTAGAGAACATGTCTGACGATGAGTATTCCGAATATCATCATTCCGCCCTCGAAATAATGACAGGTCAATTGGCGAGAGATGCCGGTGTTGTCTATCTCAAGGAAGGTACTCATACATTCTCACTTAAGAATGGTGCTAAATTCACAGTATACGCTTCACCCTACACTTGTGGATCTATGGGCTTCCAGTACCAGATAAATGAAGACCGTTTCAACGACTCAACTCAAGTCGCTCCAGGTCAAGTTTCAATTGCCACCAATCCTATTCCTGAAGGTGTTGATATCGTCATGACTCACGGTCCTCCACATACAATTCTGGACCAAGTTGATGGCTCTTATAAAGGATGTCGTAATCTTCTTCGTGCCGTAAGCCGTGTTCGACCACTTATGCATTGCTTCGGACACATCCACGAAGGAAATGGCGCGAATCTTGTAACCTGGAAACCAGATGGTAGTGTAAAGGATCCATCATCAGCTACACCGATGGAGACAGAACAAGTTAATGAGTATCCATATACAAATGAGTGGCCAATCCAATCTGGAAAACAAACTCTTATGGTAAATGCGGCGATCATGATGAACACTGCAAAGGGAATGCGTCCAAATTATAAGCCCTTCGTAGTATCACTCGATCTGCCTCGCCATCATTAATTTTATATTCAGTCTCGCCTCTGTTTCCGTATTTTGATGATTTTTGATAGGATTGGAAAACTGCTGATCCGGCGTTCGTGGAAATGTGTTACGGGATTTCGAAATTGTTGATGGCGCATATAGCAAATCTTACCTACCTTAATGTAATAAATCGCATCTTCAAATCTAACTCTCTTGATGTTTGCACGTAATATTTTCGTTTTCAAACCCCAAGAATTGTATGAGTAGTGTACACCCATGGCAAGTGATAGACACAAGTGGTTTCGATATACGATGTCATAATCCTCCAAGTCGTTCCCATTACTTCCTTGCACATTTGCTTGATTCGGAGCTTTCTTTAAGAAAAACGCATGCGACCTCCAATCGTAATCGGCGTTTTACGCACGTATAGTGTTTGAATCGAAATGTGTTGATGACTCTACGAGCTTATTTGAAGTGTAGAGGGTATAGAACCAACGATGGAATCGAAGCTCTTGTATTGTAGTAGGCATTGTAGTCTTAGATATGCAGTACCTAGCATCTTGTGTATTATGAAATCTGTCGGGTTTCAAGTCGTTGTGTTGTATGGTAATTTGATCGCAAATTTGGATTCTTTAGAGAGGATAGGGCGCAAGAATCCAATACCTCCTCCAATCCAATCACTACCAATGTAAAATTCGTTTCTTCTCAGTTTCATGACTGCTTCAGAGGTGGCTTGTTGGTCGGGGTTTCGATTTTTCAATAGTATACTAAACAACAATGTTAGAATCAAGTGGATAGCAAGAGTGTAACTTATTGCACAAATAAAATGTATATCAAACCTTGCATCAAAGATATGATCATCCCGCAAAGATCCATCTTGCCTATATCTGGGTAATAGATTGAGGATAGTGGTAGTGAGACTCCAAAGTGTCTGCAACAAAGACAGTAGTGAAGAACCTGCAGAGAATTGTCGCCGGATCTTCTATGCATCAGAAATGATGTATCTTCGCCTTGATCTCGCAATCTGCCTAAGAAGGTTGTGCAGTGGTATTGACCACAGCAAATGCCTTGATTTCCTTGTAGCGAATCCAAAAGTATTTCTTCCTAGCCCAAGAATTTTCGACTATATTCACTCCTTCAACCATTCCTCGCTCATGTATTGTAGATGGGAGTACGGGTAGCCCTTTTGGCGGCGCATACAAAAAAAAAGAGTGTAGTCTCCGCCGCAGTACTTTTTTCATACAAGTAGGCTTGTTGTGGTGATCAATTTCAAATATTCGTATGTGCGAGAAATAAGTAGAAAGGTCGCAGGAAAATCGGTTGTTTTGTGCCTCTGCATGTCGAGCTGGTGACAACCTCTCGGTCGCGAGACTCTCTTTTTTCATGGCGCAACAACACCTTTTAGTATTATTAATCGCAGTTGAGATATTCATTATCTAGTTCATATTCTCATTTCTTCTTGTGCTCGCCAGTAACTTTGGAGGTCGCCTGCGGATAGGATCCAAATCACCAGAATCGACGCCGACATCGCTGCAAACCAAATTTCTTGGAAAAGGTATATTTAAAACCCTGGCGCATATATCTGTAGTGGAACTGAGTCTACATTCCAAATTTCAGGATCTCAGGATCATTGTTGGTGTTGTAATCGTAAATTCCATTTTCGCTGATGTTGAAAGTCGTCAAAATGTTTGTCGCACAGTAGCCCAACGAAACGGCGATCTTAATAACTCCAAACTCTGATCTCAGAACTTGATCAAACTATGCCATGATACTAAGAGGTATCTTCTCGAGGTACTATTAAAGTTTTAAAAACTTCCACCGCGTAGAACTCTCACAATCCCCAAATGAATGTTTTTGGAGCTTTTTTGGACCAATGGGAAGCCTTCCACGTGATGATTTTTGACCGACAAACGGTTTTGTTGCACGTCTATGGCCATATCCAAAAATGGGGCTTTTTGGAAATTTTGCAATTTTTTTGCAGATTTACACGGCTCTCAATTGCGCCATTTCAGGAAAACTATCGACGTTCAATTCTGACAAGAATTGGGGATGGTGTTGTTGGTTTTCGTTTTTGACGGTTTTGACGTTGGGTCGTTTACTTCCTCGCAAATTCTTCGTCTGATATCACTTCAAATTCACTTTCGTGGCCCGATTCGGTCATCCTCGGTATTCTTTATCCCGTAAGGTTTTCAAGCTCGGGAATAGATATACTACTGTCGACTTCACTCATTTCAAGACTCGCCGCCTATCATACCACTCACACTTTGTCTGCTCAGACTTCACTTGGCAAATCACTCAACAAATCACTCCTAGTACTTGTGAATAACCTTCTGCTGATAACTACCTTCTCATCTAATAAGGGTACACTCCCAGCAATCTCAAGTCATCTATCTCTACCACCTGCTCAACACTCTACTCTTCCATCATACATATAAAATCAAAGTTCTCAAACTAATTAACTTCTTCACCACCTCAGCTGAGCCTACGCTTTTCCTCAACCCTATGCAGCTTACCCTTATTCATCATCTGTGTATGACCACAATCCTAATCATGCACCGCGATTATCTCATAACCACAGGAATAGCTTTCTTACAGCGACGAGGTCATACACATAGTGGAGAGTATATCTGCATGCATGGCAAATGCTTAATCATCACTTCTCAGCCATCAGTAGTGTTCAAGAGTGGCTCCATCTGCAAAGCACTTGATGACAGCACTGCGAGTACTTTCGAAGGATGCTCCCTCTCGTATTGATGACTGGGGGGTATAGTTTGGGCAAGTGAAACCTGTGTTGCGGTCGAGGAGCTCTGAATGATTACAACAACTAGCACAATGAGAATATTCAAGTTGTCAAGTTTCACTCTACATGTCATGCTCTATACGCTTCAATTTGTTCTCGTCGTTATGATTTTTTGGCTAGAAACAATAAACTTGGGAATAGAAATATGTGCACTCTCTGCACTTGGATACTAAAGATCTAGAGATATTGTAAGGATGATTAACTCATACCCGGCTGTTGGAAGTAATAAGATCTTGTCAAGAAGCTGGAAGAAAAATACCAGGTGGAGTGGCACAAGCTACCAATAGACCCCGAATGGTAATTTGGATTATCCAAAAAGAATCACCAAGTACCACAGTGTCACCTCCTAGATCAACCCCGTAGAAATGGATCTCGTAATATCACAAGGCTTAAACAGAGCGGACTGTAGAAGGGGTGTAAAATGCTCCTGCGAAGAAACTTGGAATGAAACGGACGTCGACCAAAGATCGGAGGGAAGCTTTGCCGTGAAGAACCGTATAGGAAACTTGTGGTCGTCAACAGGCTTAATCCTATGTCCTTCGGGGCAATCCAATGCCAGAAATTTCATAATGGACTTCCTGAAATATAATCCATTGGATCCGGTACTTCATTGCACTGATGAATTGTATGCCCCATTTTCCTTCTGTGTATAAATTTAAGTCGTGGATGTGGAATTCGTCGTCTGCCACTTGAAAAGTGTTATTTAAACCCTCGCTGTTGAGTACTACCATTGTTCGAGTAGGGGTGGTGACATTGGATCTTGGCTGTCTTTCATATTATTGACCTCGAACCGTCGCATTGTGAGGATCCGGTTGATGATGATTATTGTGACCTTGGGTCTGAGTCTGGATATATGAAGCCATGGCCGCGGCAAATGTGATGGATGCGATTGAGAGATTGTTGTTTAAGTTTAAGTATTCGATATCTTAATCTGTTTGAAAAAAATCATGTTTGGCGGCTTGATTGGGAACAAAGTGAATTATTTTAATATAGCCAATAGGATGCTTCTGCCAGTTCACTTCACGATAATGACAAGAGCACTCCGGTAAAGTATGAAATATATTTAAATTCATGAACCATATGCACCTAAACTCCCAAGACCCCCAAACTTTCTAAGAATATCTGAATATCTGAAAATCTGTCCAACCAATTTTCGCCGTCCGTACAATGTTTGTAAGCTTCTGAATCTTTAAAAACCACCCAGACTATCAACCCTCTTTCCAAAATAATTGGTAGTTGCTACTACCATTCCATCATTCTCCCTTTCTATCTCCCTCTTCTTGTTCCCCAAACTCTTCTTCACTTCTCCCAAGCTCATTCCTTCAATCAATCCTCTCACGGCCTCAAAGATCACCGCCTCAAATGCCACAATCTCTATTTTCGACACACAATTCGTATCATACTCTAACCTCAACGCAATCGCATCATCAGAAAGCACCGAGAATTCCACCAAGAGTGCAAATTTACTTCCTTCGGTATAGGTAATCAGAGGATCCACACCTTCGATCATAGTCTTGGAAGTACGATTGTCGTGGAAAGTTACCATAACATCGAGCAGTGGATGATTTGGAAAGCGCGCTTTTGTGGAAGTGGCGCTGAGAATTTGATCCCATGGCATAGCATGTGCAATTGCTTCTTGGCTGGAGGTTTGCACAGCTCGGAGGAAGGATGTGGATGTTATTTGGGAGGCTGAAGATTGGCGGATACGAATGGGAAGAGGCTCGAGGAATAATCCAATGGTTTCGAGATCTTTGGCTCCGCGGTTGAAGTAAGGACCTCCCAATACGATGTCGACATCGTTTTGATCGTGTTGAAGGGAAAGAGCTACAGCACCCAGTGCCATTTGGTGAAGTGTAACTTTTTGCTCATCCGTAAATCTGAGAATTTGTCGGGTGAGATCTTGTGGAAGCGTGGTAAGGCGAGTACGTCCGGTGTATGTGGTACGTTCTACGATATTGGGGAGGGTATAAGCTCTCGATGTACCGTGAAGATATTCTTTCCACCATTTTTGCTCAGCTGGTGTAGCTGTGGTGCTCCATTGTGTGGTGTCCATATATGTATGCTCGACGGGTGGTAGTGAGTTACCGCTGTAAAGCGTGGTAACCTCCTTGAGAAGAACTTCAAGGGAAGTCAAGTCTGCGATAATATGACTCATAGATGCAAGCATTGTGTTTCTTGAGAGGAACACTCGGATGGGATGCTGACGTTCCAAATCAAAAGGTCGATTACATTCTCTCCA